CCCCCTGCCCAGCTGAGCTTGTGCCTGCCGTGGGGGCCCCCTGCCCAGCTGCCCGTACGCCGTGCCAAGACCGGGCAGGCAGCGAGCCAGGGAGCTGCAATCTGGCGGTGCCGCCGGCTCCTCGCCTTGTCTGGGAGTCTGGTGGGGCACCGCGCTGAAGCTGGAAAGTTTCTGTGCAAAGGGGAGGGTGAGTTAACTAACAGAAAATCTCCTATGTATAATGCGCACCCCGGTTCTGACCCGAAAAAAAAACAGGAAAAAAAGTGTGCATTATACTCGAGATTTTACGGTATCATCAATAAAGGTGTTAAGCTTTGTGTACTTACTGAAGTCATATTTACTGAGAAGCTCTGCACAGTTGTCCTCTCTTATCTGCAATGTGTCTGAGGTGTACACTTTTTGACCAAGCGTATGAAGTCTTATTATCCTTGTCGGATGGTGTGGAACAGTTTTGTTGTTGCTTATTTCTTTGCTTAGCAGCGTTGACTACTACGGAGTTTGGTGGTGAATGAGTAAACAACTCCTCTGACCCCTTAGATGGGATTTAGTACTTGCAGTCTGCCTTTTAACAGGTGGGAGAGATTGAGGCAGGGGTTTGCCAAAGAACTTTGGCATGCTCCATTATGGCTGAGTTAATGGGCAAGGTGATTTTTGAAGAAGGCATTGCCTGAAGAATATTTGTGAGGTCATGTTGTGTATCCTGCACTTCCTCCATGTTGATATTTAGATCGGCTGCAACTCTCTTAAAAGGCTCCTGAAAGGAGGAGAAGAGCTCAGCAGTTGCCAAGGACAGTGGCATGATAGCCTCACCCGTCATGGACGGTAAGCTTGTGTCAAGCAATGCCTCTAGACCCAAACTGGTGGAGTGATGTTTGTTAATTTCACCCCATTCCCTCTCAATTCAAGGGGATTGGGCTAAGGGGAAAAAGTGCCTCTTTTTGTGATGTTGAGGCCATGGGCTCCAGTACTGCCATTGGTGTGGATAAGGCATGGGTGGTGGTATCCATGGATATGGGCCCACGGGCCCATGCCTACACGGTAGGATCAGGAAAGTAAGAATGACTCTAATATCCCAATGCTTCTGTGCGTGGGGATAGCTGGGGTGAGAAAACTCCTAGCTCCTCATCGTCATCAGCTGATAGCACAATAGGTGATAACATATATTTGGACCACGGTGAATAAGATGGTTTGTCAGTGCTTAAGAATGGTGAATTGAAGGATGAGGAGACCGCCAGGTCTCTCTAATGCTGGTAGGTAATGGTAGGAGTAAAAGGGGCTGAGGCTGATCATGTTTCAAGAGGTGCTAGCATCTGTGATATTCCAGAAGCAGAGCATGCAGCATGAGAAGTTGCTGGGTTAGCAAAGGCAGGGTGGCACTGATAGGCTGCCCTGTCAGCTGTTGCAGTGCCGTAGTAACCCCTTTTGCACCATGATCTCAGGAGCAGTGCTGCTCAGCGTTGTGCTCAGTAACGAGTTCTGTGAGGCAGGCACTGTGTAACCTGTAGCCTCCGAATGTGCATCATGTGAGTCATGTCTGTAGTGAGCTGTCAGCCAGCAGTACTGTCTGCCTCTCCATGAAGTGCTGTTTAGGCAAGAGTGGATCTGATGGGAGTAAGTTGGCCCATTTCTTTGGGGATTTGTGTGGTTGGTCTCCTTTATGCTTAGCAATCTGCTGACAGCTCATGTGTGAGAAAGGGTGTTTGCCCTTCTTTATCATAATCATTTTTAAGAGGAGGTCTCTGTGTCTCCACGCCCAGGCCTTAAGTTTAGCGCTGTGTGGGCAACCCCTTTGAACATGGGAATCACCGAGACCTTTTACAAATTTATCGTAGCCGTCTGAGGCCAGCATCGCATTGTTGCAGTCTGTGCAGCATTTAAACCCAGGGGGAGCCCATCTCTCCAGAAGCGACGAGGAGTCCTGTGGCACCTTATAGACTAACTGAAGTGTAGGAGCATAAGCTTTCGTGGGCAAAGACCCACTTCGTCAGATGCATGTAGTGGAAATTTCCAGAGGCAGGAAATTTCCAGAGGCATCTCTCCAGTTTATCTTAAAGCGGCAGGAAATGCCAATTGAAGTGAACAGTGGTTTGGTTTGGTTTTAAGAACCTCAGAAACAACTAGAGAGAAGAACTTGGAGTTAACTAATTTATCTGACTGTGTAAGAACTAATGAGGTTCATAGAGCACTGTGGAGGTCCGTATTGAGCCGGGGATGGTATGAAAGAAATGAAGAGAGGGTAGCTGCGCATGCACGATGGTGCCGGGGGGAGCTGTGCACCCCAAAGCACTCCTATTAAGAATCTGCTCTGCAGCACTGGGGTGCAGCTACACCTGCTGTGGAGCACCCTCAGGGACATGTCTCAAAGAAGAGGAGGATGGGAGGACAAGAGGCCAGGGAGAGAATAGAGGCCCAAGAAGCTGGGGGGAGGCCAGGACGGGAGATGGGGGGCTCAGAGGCCAGGGCTATGGCCTGGGGGATCCAGGGCTGGCACAGCTCCCAGCCCTCCCCTCCCCAGCGGCTGCATCTGGTGTGTCCCCTGACCCGACCCTCCCCAACAGCTGGGGGGGGGGTCCCCTAAGAGGCCAGGGCTAGCACGGCCCCCAGCCAGCAGGGTTGAGCCAGGCTTGCTTACCACCAAAGACAGGGGCATTCACAAGGCGTAGCAAGCAGGGGCACCACCCCATAGTAATATTTAATTATTATTTCTGTCAGGATCCAAAACTGAGTAGAAGACAAAGCTGCAGACAGTAAGAAATTTACAAAGTAGCGTGACCCAGTCTTGTATTTTACCTGCCATCTCATTTCATCTTTTATTAGAATAATATCACCTATCTAGTCTATGGTATTTCACAGTGACTTCTGAAAGCCACATACTTCGAAGCACAGAAACATTATTTGAAATATGGGTAGCTTACAATTTTTCTGGTTTTGTCAGTGTAGAAAGATCCCACTTATCTCTAATAGTGTAATTTCCATTAGATTTGAATATCACCTAATACAGTATATTGAGAACTTTTTAGAATTTATTGGCAGAGTATTTAATTCCAAGTGGAACTTGCACTGAGGCAATTGATTATGCAAACTCTGTAGAGTCATTCCCACACCCAACAATCTTCAAGCCATTACACACTTTAATGTGTTAAAATCATATGTAGCAATATAGATTGTGATACTAAATTTTATTTCCAAGATAAACTCCTTCAATAATACCTTTGAAATATTCCCATCTCCTTTTCTATTTTAGGATATAAAACCTAATTAATTCCTCAGGCAGAGAACACAAATTAAATAATCCCTGACAAACTCTCACTTTAGAATAGTGATTTCTGAAAACAGTAATGTCCTGATCTTACAAACACTTACACACAATATCAGCAACCTTTAATTGTCTTTTACAAATTCTATTACATTATAAAGCAGTGTTTCTTAAACTGTGTTCTGCGGTGCACCAGTGTACCATGAGGCAGTCGGAGGTGTGCCACAGAGAACAACAGAATTCAAAATGGCCACACTTAAAGGGGCAGGTAATCTTTTCCCCTCAATAACTTTCCCCTTCAACCTGTGCCTCCCCCTCACCCCCCAAACAAAAAATCCTTGGTGTTCCGCATGAAAAAAAAATTGTTGTTTGGTGTTCCTCGGTCTTAAAAAGTTTAAGAAACACTGTTATAAAGGAAAGGATATTTCAGAAATAGCATTCCCATAGACTTACAGAGTAACCATTTTTTAAAAGATTGTTCTTACATTTACAACTTCAAGCTAGAGATGTTAAATATCAGTTATTGAATAATCAATTAACCTCATGAATTCTTATCAGTTAGTCGACTATTCTATAGTCCCCGGGCAGCCTCTGTCCGAGAGGAAAGGGTCTGAGCTCCCAGACCCAGTGCAAGCCGGAACTGAGCCAGGGTGAATGCCTGCCTGGCTCCTAAAACACTTTAAATGCGAAGCAGAAGCAGAACCCAGTGCAAGCCGGAACTGAGCCAGGGTGAATGCCTGCCTGGCTCCTAAAACACTTTAAATGCGAAGCAGAAGCAGAGGTAGGTCCAGAACCCAGTGCAAGGCAGCACTGAGCTGGGCTGCTGGCCAGCCTGCTAAAAAATGTACTGGCAAGACGTGGGGGGAAAATGCATGTAGTCTGTAGCATTAACCTATAAGCTTTTGCTTATTGGTTAATCAACTGATCGAAAAGGACCTGAGGATTACAGTGGATGAGAAGCTGGATATGAGTCAACAGCATACCCTTGTAGCCAAGAGGACTAATGGCATATTAGGGTGCATTAGGAGGAGCATTGCCAGCAGATCCAGAGAAGTGATTATTCCCTTTTATTCGGCTCTGGTGAGGCCACATCTGGAGTATTGTGTCCAGTTCTGGGCCCTCCCCCCCCATTATAAAAAGGATGTGGACGCATTGGAGAGGGTCCAGAAGAGGGCAACCAAAATGATTAGGGGGAAGGAGCGCATGACCTACGAGGAGAGACTGAGGTTTGTTTAGCCTGCAGAAGAGAAGAGTGAGGGGGGATTTGATAGCAGCCTTCAACTTCCTGAGGGGAGGTTCCAAAGAGGATGGAGAAAGGCTGTTCACAGTAGTGATGGATGGCAGAACAAGGAGCAATGGAAAAACTATTTCACTAGGAGGGTGGTGAAGCACTGGAATGGGTTACCTATGAAAGTGATGGAATCTCCATCCTTAGAGATTTTTAAGTCTCAGCTTGATAAAGCCCTGACTGGGTTGATTTACTTGGGTTTGGTCCTGCCTTGGGCACGGGACTGGACTTGATGACCTCCTGAGGTCTCTTCCAGCTCTATGATTCTGTGATTCTATGAACTATACTCTTACATCCCTACATGAAGCAAATGCTGTAGTACTTACTTTTGACTGTATATAAACTGATAAAGTATTCACTTTATAGTGCATACCTGCTTGCAACAGTGGGAAAGTGTTATTTAAAAAAACGGCAATAAAATAAATGAAAATGGGGGGGAAAAAAGAGAATAAAAACCTGTGATGTAGAGGATGGGATGACAGTGGTCTCAGCAGGGACTGGCAGGACAGGGATCACAGGGACAATGGGAGAAGAGGGAGGAACAGCTTCTGTTGGCTAAAAATTATCAATAAATAAGGTCAAGAAAAAAATACAAATAGCAAAACACAAACACATGAGACATACAAATTGAGGAAATGTGTAACAAAAGGTAGAAATTTAAAAACATTTAAAGTTTAAAGGTGATATCTTTAAACAATAGATTTAACTACATAAAGATGTTCTCTCATAATACATAGTGCATACAGTACCTACAAACACAGGACACCAAACTGAGAGGTTATGAATGCCTATAATACCTACTGTCTTCAAATCACTACTCACTCAGGATCAGGAAGGGCTTGATCAAAAGCCTACTGGAGTCAATGGAAAGACTTCCACTGACTTCAGTTTGCATTAGACCCAGATCACAATAATACCATATGATATCTACAGAAGTGTTTCTCAACCAGTGGTACGAGTACCTTTAGCGGTACTCGAGAGAAGTCTAGGGGGTATGTCAACACGTGAAATTTGGAGAAAACTGAAGTTTTGTTTTAAGTTTTACAGTGTTTTATTAATTTTGTACTTTTTACATCCAAAATTTCATCACCCGCCCGGCTACGATTAAGTTGTTTAAACTAATGTATTGCAATGGTAGAAAAAAAATGTTGTGTCAGAAAACTGTAGGTACTGGGGGTACTTTTTTTTTTTTTTTTTTTTTTTTGAAAAAAGAGGTACTGAAAAAAAAGGTTGGGTGCCCTAGTGGCCTCTCCATCCACAGCAATCAGGGAAACAACTGGCAAAATAAATAACTAGCATAGTTTCTGGTTATTTGAGAAAGAAAAATAGAAAGGGCTGGACTCATATTTTGTATTGATTTCAACAAAATGAGTAGAAAAATTGATTTAGTTAAGTTGTTGCACTTCCCTAGTGTGGATTCAGTCCTACCAATATAAAGGTGTTTGTAATAAAACACAATATACAAATATAAAAACCTTTATGAACTTTTAGGTGGCTACTCAATTAATTATATCAGTTTAGGAATTAATTAACTCAAAAGAACAAAACATGTAGATAAGCATTAAACACAATATAGGACACCATTCTGTGCTAAAATTACATGGAGGTAAATAATTTTTAAAGGAACATAATTTAAAACACTGTTCCACCGCCAAGCACTAAACAACATGAACTACAAGCAACATCCATTAAAATACCTATCTGGAAAAAAGAAGAACATAAGTCTTTGAGAACTACATTGTATATAAAAATTTGATGTTCTAATTAAATTTAAAACAACATGATTTTAAGCATAATACAAGACAACAAATAGGGAAAATTTTAAAACAAAGATCAAATAGAAAGGATGAAAAGATTTCAAAATTATGCATAATATATTTTAAATTAATTTAAGCACTTTTACACTGCAAGAAAAGACATTTCAGAACACTTCCTATATGAAACTGTTTTAATATTAGAAAATAATAGATTAATATTTTAAGGGATTGCTACTAAATTGTTCTAAAAAAAGTATCAGAATATCAGATACTTTGGAGCAGAAATTAGAGAGGCAGGAATAAATATACATAAATATAAGTATATTTATGCCTGCCTCTGTAATTTCGATTTCAATGCATCTGACAAAGTGGATCTTTGCCCATGAAAGCATATGCCCAGATAAATCTGTTAGCATTTAAGGTATCACAGGACTCCTTGTTGTCTTTGCATACTATTTTAAAATACATTTTCATATTATATTTTAAAATCGGATACAATATCTATATATACACATTTTATACAGAAATACATATTACCACATTTTTACTACTCGTATATTTCATCCAGTGTTAACTTTTATGCTGTCTGAGAAATTTGCATAAAAGAGAGTTGTGAAACATTAAGATGATAAACAACCTAATTGTCACATAAATGCATAGGGATTTTGCATTGAATTAGGCCTATCTATTTTTTGTAACCAAAATTGAATCATTTAAAAAACTTAAATATTACATGTGATTTGCTTTATAAACAGACTATTTAAAACAGAAATAATCAAGATATTAACTGGTGAGGCCAGTGTATGGAGCCCCAGAGTATTCCATAAAAGAGCAAAAATTTAGTAACACAATAACATCCTCCTTTCCCCATTCCCAACAAAACACAGAACAATCTTTCCAGTACAATGAAGTGGAAGTTAAAATGAAAGCAATAAAAAGTATTGTGCACACATTCCAAAAAAAATAATTGAAACAGGGCATTTTTTAGCACTGCTACAGCACAAATATGGGATGAACTCTACTATGAAAGGAATTCAGCTTTTCTCCACAATCATACAAAATGCACTGTAAACAGCAAAGTCCAATTAGGAGAACAACAACAGACTCCTTAGCGGACAAACAACAACCAGTACATGTATGTAAACTGAAATTTGAAGAAAATGTTAAAGATTAGACTACAGAAAAGAGGTATAATCAACATTTTCTACAGTTTGTACAGAATGCCCATTGTACACTATATAATTTTCTTTCCTGAAGGCATAAAATAATTTACTAAGACAAAAACAACCCTTTATCTAAAAACATCTGGTACTTGAAAATACATACCTTTTCTAAGGAACAGTTAGACCATGCTCCATCAGACCACCAGCCACTACTAGCTTTCACTTTGGCTGTGCTTTTTGTAGGACTCTTTTTTACACTATCACGTAGATTTGTGAACTTGCCTCTGTGTTTTGAGCACACCGGCAATGTTGCTGAACTAAAAGATGTATGAACATTCAGTGCCTGCTGATGATGCTGAAAAGGATGCTCTAACCATGTAAGATGGACACTCTGAGGCACTTCCATCCTGGGCTTCCTTGTAAAATCAGCAAGCCTGGCGGCTCCAATTTCACAGCCATCTGGAGCATCACAATTGTGGTCATGACGGTAATTGGCCATTAGACAGGTAAAATACACTACCCTTTTTGGAAAATTAATGTTGTATTTTAAAAAATGATGTATGCTGATTTTAGAAAGGTTTCAAAATAATTCTTTCATGTTGTGAGTTATCTGATAGGAAAACAAAGAGCAAAATGCTATTTTAGCCAGTACTGCGCATGTGTGCACTCTCACTTGCTCTATTTAAAGAATATCATTAAGCTCTACACACAATGCTCCCTTTGGAAAACAAATAATCAATGATGTTCATAGATTATTGAGTGGATGGCAAAGGTTTTCTAACATTTCAACTTGTTAATAAACAGCAAAAAATTAAAATTCTCAGACAAAATTTTTTCCTCCCCCAAAACTTCCTTATATTTTATCCCCAAAATCTCTCCAAAATTTGCAAACAACAAGGTACAGGCATACCAAAGTGTATTCAGTATTTACAGTATGTTTGTACACTTTTTTCATATCACTTGAAATTTTTACTGGCATTTTAACATCCTGCAATTAACCCAAGTTAAAGTAAAATACAATTTATTTCCACGTATATCTGATGCTTTCATCTAACTTATTGTTATAAGTTTAAAATCTAGCCAGTTTTTTAAAAAGTTAAATATAGTATCTTATCTGACCTGAATTCATCACATCAATGTTTATAATTTGACAATCACATTTTAATTTTTTTCCTGTTTCTGCAGCATGAAAAATCCACACAAATGACAGGAGAAATATGCTGTAGTTGGAGACATTGCACTTTATCATCTTAAAACATTAAAAAGGTGTGGTTGCATTTCATGCTATTAGGCATTTAACTAAAGAACTGTGAATATTTAAGGCACTTCTGACTTAGATTCAGCGTGAAATAGGCTCCATAGTTATCTGATGGTTTGGATATTAAGACACAAACAGGAACTGACAGCTATTCCACTAATAATCATGGAGTTGCCAAGTCTAATCTACTGAAAGTGGAAGTAATCAAGAGCTACACAACATATCACTGACGTAATACCGAATCACAGAATCAAAACAGGGATACTTCAATTTAAAATTCAACTGTAGACAAGCTCACACTTTATTTAAAAAAAAAAACTGTGTAGCGGCCCAACTCAGGTCAGAGTGCAGCAGGCAATCATGATCTTGGGACAACGGCAGGAGCATCGGAGTGCCGCACCCATGTTGGCACAGCCATGCCAGGGCAATGAGGATGACTCTAGCCTTGTTCTGGCTGAACTCCAACAGGACATTGCCGACAAGTGGAATTGGGGGAAAGGCACAGAACAGCCCCCACCTCACCCCCTGCCACAACAGGAAGAAGGCATCTCACAGGGACCCATTGCTTAACACTTGCCTGGAGCAAAAACTGCAGCATTTCCTGTTCTACCTGGTGGCAAACTGGTCCACTTGGAAGTGCTCAACTTCTGAAAGAGAACTGAAGCTGCCTCTGGGTGTAGAGCCCACTGTGGTGAAGAGAGAAATATCTGCTCAGCCATTTGGCCAATGAGTTCCTGAACCCTGGGAGGTGAGACACTTCCAGATGAATGTCATGGAGGATACAGACAGACCACTTCCTCGCAGAACACCAGGAGTTCAACAATTAAACTCCTCCCTGCCTGTAGAAGTAGAACATCATGACTGTCTTGAGCATGAGAACTCTGACAGGTGAGCTAGGAAGACTCCACAAGCCCTGTGCACTGCATTGGAGCTTCCTAACATTTGTGGGGAGTGACATTTCTTCCGGGGGAAGGCCGTGGAGGTGAGTGCCCCAGCCAAGGTGTGAGGCATCTGACACCTGCTCAGTCACGTGTGGTGTCCTGAAAATAAGTAACTGCTATAATATTTCTTCAGTCGGTTTACCATATGAGAGAGATGAAAACCACTGAGGGAAAGTCACTACCCATTCAAAGAGGTGCCTGGAGGGAAAATAGAGCAGAAGTTTCTGAGGTGGCCTCTGAATGCCTCTGCTCAAGATTGGGTCCCAAACCTATAGGACTGTTGCTTTCTTACTGGCCTCGAATATAAAAGCCCAGCACGTGGAAGGTAGTTCTAGAGCCTTATAGGCCATGAAATTTACTGTCTGAGTACAGTGCCAGGCCACTGAACGGGAGGTCCTGGATTTAATACTCAGCTTTCACTGACAAGGAAATGTGC